GCGGAACAACGGCGGAACGTGATTGCGGCAGATTTTATAATCAAGTCGATTATTTATGTGCGTGACGAAAACATGCGCGATTCGCATCGCGGCATCGGATGCACGACACCAGCCGCGCGACGAAAAGAATAGCAACCGGCTTTGGGGTGGCTCTGTTTGGACTATCCGTTGCTCGGCGACGTTAGATTGATTCGCAGTCGGGCCGTTTACATAAAGTTTCCAGAAGAACCTTTCCAGTGAAATGGATATTGCAATCTGATATGCAGTTCGTTCAGAAAGGATAACGTAAGGAATTTGTAAACTTTTTTAATAAAAATAATTTCTTTTCATAAAGAAGATATCCTTAAAGTTATACACTTGAATGAATAAGACAAAAATATTAAAGCCACTCGTACTCATTGAATAAATATTATGATCAGTTTATTCGACAAAGTGCACTTTGTTAATCCAGTATCAATTTATGCAATCGAATTATATAGTCGAAACCATGAAATACAGTTGAGTAGCATCATTAATGAGTTAACTACGCGAAATCGACGTATTGTTTGACCGATCGTTATTGAGAGTTCACAAACCCGCTATTGAGCTGTTTTGCATGATTTGCTTGATACATGTTGCACCATTAACAGTTCTCAATGAGTTTCCAATCTAATAAATCTCACATAAATATCAAACAAACTGCAAATTTGTTCTCGTTTTATTTGAATTAATAGTTTTACTTTTAATATCTTTTTCTACTTTGATTAATCTAGCTCTCGTATTAAAATGCTTAGCTAATTTACTTTTTTATCATTATGGCATTTTGTTTTTTCTAATCTAATCTGATCTTATACATATGTGATCTAGTTAAATAACTTTCATGACGTAATGCAATATTTTGCAATTACGAGAGATATGTACTCGGGGTTAAATCGAATAAAAAACAAACGACGCATTTTATCACAAGACGTAAAAATCGACTTTTTATTTATAAAATAAATAAAAGTGTTGCTGCCTGAAAACGAATAGTGGGGACAGAAAGAGATGGCCGCGTTGTGATGTTATGGTCTCTTCTTTAATACGCCGCACAAAATTTCGATGTTGACGGAATGAGATGGAAAATGGGAATAGACGAAAGGACCTGATTGTTTATCAATGTTCATACGATGCGTGTCATATGTAGCGTCAAGGTAAAACGAAAAGAAGATGAGAGAGTGACGGAGGGAGGCTTTTTTCAAGTCTGATTGCCTGGTCTTTCTGGGAACGGTCCTCGGGAGTGGCCCAAGTCATGGCAGCTATCCTGAGGCAGTCGAATTCTATTTCGATCTGCCAATATATTGCAATTTCGCAACGGTATTCCTCCGTGATCCTCGATCCTCGGACAGAAGATCCTCGACCATCGGGGCCGGACATCCACAATCCTCGGCGAGCGATCTCGTGCAGAATTGAAACGTCTTGCCGAAGAGATAAAAGAAGAAACTCTCGACAAAGATTTCATTCGTTGTTTTGTTCACCAATCGTGGTGGTCGCTGATTCGTTGCCTCATATCAGCCTCAGGATGACGCGTTCGGCGTGGACCACTCCAGACCAGCGGGTCTGCTGGCTCAGGTGGGATCTAATGCCAGCCGTGTCCGTGTCCGTGGACGGCCACGTTGGCGACCTGGGGCTCGTAATGCGGCGCCGGGATGTAATGATCGACTCCCACCAAGTGCGGGTGCCCTATATGAGTTCCAGAGTAGTGAAGGCGGGTGGTGTGGTCGTTACCGTGGAGGGCGAGCGGAAGAGTTTTGGGGGCCGGAATGGCGGGTTGTCCATTGATATGGATGTGCTCCGCATAGTGACCGCCCTAAACATAAAAGAAAACAAGATATTTTAATCACTAAAACAATTACTCTCACTTATCCATGCTATTACGTAATTGAAATGATCAGAAAATCTAATAATCTCAAAAAATGTCCAGGAAACATAGTTTCCCATTACGAAATTGCGAGTGAATGCAAGGGAGTATTATAGCTTGGATAATAGGAACTTCGGGACGGAAATTGCACAAATGAACGTGATCAATTTGATACAATTGCGGCTGGGTTTCAACACGAAGATAATAGATTTAATTAAGTAGAAAATTTAATGATAAGGCTATGATTATAGTACTGATACTATTCAGCTGTTGCTTTACGATTAATTATGTTGAAACATTTCTATTAATTTCATATTAATTTTTAATATTTTAATATTTTGTTAAAAAATAGTTATATTATGTAACTCTTTGCTGGATAATTACAATGTAAAATTATACATTCTTATAATGGATCATTTCTTGATAATATATAATTTGTATAATTTATAACGGCGTATTAACTTGGAATTTGATAAAATAATAATATCCAGATATGTGATAGAGAGAAAAGTTACGGAATATTGATAGAACTAAACTTTTTAAAATAATAATTATGAAATACTTACAGCGCTGACAACCGCCACAATGGCGAACAGAACAATCTGTAACAAGAGAACACACAACGTTTATAATATAATAATAAAACATAATATATTCAAAATTTTAGACAAGTTCTAATTTAAAAAATTGACCTTATCCCTATAATAATATAATAAATAAATAAATAAATAAAAAGGAAAAATATATACTACCAGACAAATAAGAATTCAGAAAAAATAAAAGTAAAATAAAATATAATCAAATAAAAGACACAATTTTAATACGCGCGATGCATATTAAATAAGATAAAATTACTTATATAATTAAATATGCACAAGATTTAATATTTTTCTTTACATTAATGTCTACAATTTTATATACAGATAAAAGCATGTAAGCTGAAGATAAAACTGAGAAATCAACGCGGCGAGGTTATTGCGAGTGAAGGGAAAAACTTACGAAGAACTTCATGGTGGCGAGCGGTGGTTTTTCTTGCGTTATACGAGCAAGCACTATGACTTCAAGGGGCGACGCGGTATGCTTTTATAGCAGGTCCCTGCCCAAGTCTAGGCCCACTCTCAGGGCGTTAGGCGGGGGCACGTCACACAGACCCCTTTCACTAACCACGCGACCGACACCCTTTCGGACCCCCTTGTTAGGTGCCCGCCCAACCGCGACGTCACACCTTGTCACGCTTCCAATATTTTCGATATCAATGATGGTGTCACCCTTAAAGATACTGATGCTGAAGATCATGAGGTGTGGACCATCAAATAGGTCATTATCGTTAGTCTCACACAATAATCGATAAGTGGGTGTGTATGTGTGAATGTGAATGTTAGATAAAATATGCTTGAATAAAGAATGGCGTGTTAGATCGCAATGCTAAATTATAATGATTAGATCGACAATAATTTACGCTATCGCTAAGATTTTTTTCTTTAGGGAATTACGGTGTTTCTCATAAGATTCCCGTAGAAGAGTTAATTTAGGCTGATTGAAATAGACTTATCTATTTATGTGCATATGACTTAATTTTCAAATTATTTCTACATTAATTTTTATTAGCTCTCTACATTAATTTTTATCTATTATTTTAATTATAAAATCTATTTATCCTTTTTGCAATTTTATTAAAATTTCCTAAGAGAAAGACTACATAATTTGTATTATTATTTTGTTTACTACAGGTTTTATTATATGATTATAGAGAACATAAATTTTAAAACATATATGTATAATAAACAATAAGTATAATAACGGTCGAATATTTGCACAGCAATACAAAAATCCTAATAATGACCGGAATCGAGCAAGGAATTAGAGATAGAATTAATAATAATTTGATATATATTTAAAATTAAAATTAAAACATCATAGAAGTTTCGACTCACAGAGTCTTCTTCAATACAATAAAACTTATAAACTTTCTTATATACAGTCTAATTATAATTTCTTCCATTCTAACGAAAACAGTATAGTCAACCATCCATCTTCTTTAAAATTCTTTGTGATTTTTCAAAGTAACTTGTCACATCATACACATTGATACAGATCTAAAATTCGTCAAAAGCAATCAAAACTAAATTCTCATTTAATAGCGAGAATCGTGTTAGTCAAATTGTGTGTTATGTTCGTCATATGTATAAATATTAAGACACATAAGTTTCATTATTTTTCACCAATATTTTTTAATTGTAATGCTTTAACCGTAATTAATTTTTATTTTTTAATTATCTAGTTCTATTTAAGTAACATTTATACAATATATGTGTATACACGATTTCATTAATAATTTATTTAATAATGCAAAAATCAAGAATGAATTTAAAATGAGAAACAAAAAATGATGTTGCGTTCTTCTAGAGGTAGGTTTCTATTATTAACGCATTCTTCTTGTAACGTAAAATTGTTACTATTTTCTTACATTTGTTATAACCAAATTTACGCATCGAGATGTATTGAAATTAATATTAAATTGGTATTTTGTCATAACAGCTACTAAATATAATAATTATTTTATATCGGTCATTAAAATGAATTGTTTCGCTGCGTAGTAAATTTTTAACTAATAATTTAATTAAATAATAATTAATCCTATTTGCAAAGTGTGGCCTAGTTTATAAGCAGCACAGGCAAACTTTCATAAACTTTTAAACGCAACCTCGTACAGTATTAACTTGTAAACAAGTGCCTGTATCTTGTTACACTTGACTGATCTTATGGAGACTTTGAAAATGTGGCTTGAAAAAGCCGAGATGAAAATTGTAGAACGGTGTAGCATGTACTCATTTAATAATATGTTACACAATTTATGTTCTTGCATACGTTTCACACGTAATCATACTGGAATTTATTTCTTCCGATTCAGTTATCGTAACTAATCGTTATCACTCCTTTCGAGAGTAGAAAAAAAAGAAATGAAAAAAAAAAGAAAAACTTTAATTAATGAAAATAAGCATAAAAATAGAATAAAACGGAATTAGAATGTAACAAAAAAGAATGGATCTGGGTCATTGAATAAACGACAACATAATTTCTGTTTTATCACAAGACGTACACAATTAACTTTTATTAGAAAATAAATAAAAGTGTTGGTGCGGACAGTGAAGAAAAATAGGATGGGGGATCCGAGAAATGAGGGGGAAAAGGAGAACGCTCTCTTTGATGTTATGATGTCTTCTTCAATATCACAATTGCCGCACGAGAATTTTGGTGTTGGGAAAGATGAAGGAACAGAAAAAGATGCGGATATTCGTGTCCATGTATATTTGTGTAAGGCGTGTCATATGTAGTTCTAAAGGTAAAATCAAGACGAATTTGTTTTATTTTTAAGTTTGGCTGCCTGGTCTGCGATCCATGAGTGGTCCACAATTTTTCGTCTCTCCTAAGAGTCTCAAAATTTCTTGGAGATGCTGATTTTGACGATCGTCTTCAATTAAATTATTTGGATTCATAAAAATCAAATATATCGTCGACGAAGTTGTCTGCTGTCATTATTATGATCAATAAGATTCGAGATGAATGCCGTTTCAGTATAGACCACTCTGGACCAATGGGGTTTAATCAAGAGGCATCGTCATACAGGATCCTTAAGCCCAGCCATGTTTAGTCTTTATGACGGAGATTTCAGGTTCCGGGGCGGGGGCGTAATGCTCGACGCCGACGAGATGTGGATGCGGAACATGAGGAGCATCATAATGTAATCTAGTGACGTGGTCGTTTCCCTTGATATGCAGGGGACCCGGATGTGGAGGTGGAATGGCGGGCTGCTGGGGGATGAAGTGCGCGTGGTAGACATGCTGTAAGTAATAATAAAATGATATTATCATTGTGCTCAGAACAATTATTAAACACACTTTCTGAATATTGCTTTTGTGTAAGTGTTAGAATAATTACACAATTCATAAAACAAAAATAATCGATCACATCAAACAATAAGAACAATATAATATATGTGTTAGAAGTATGAAGAATTAAAATATGTAAAATAAAAAATAAAAATGTATATTATGTATGTATTAATTATATGTTAAATATGCATTATAAGTAATGTAAGAATATTCATCTATACAATTTTGTTCGAGAAGCGATCAATCCATATATATAAAGTATTAACTCTAGAATTATTTTATTATTATTTTACAAAACACAATATTATAATCGATTGAAAGCAATTTATACTTAATAATATTTTTAAAAAAGTTATTTTTAAAAAATTAATGTTTTAAAAAATTAAATTATTAAATTAATTTTTATTATTTTTTTTTTAAATTAAATTATTATAATTAATATATAATAACTAAATTATTATAATTAATAAAATTAAATTTAGTTTTAAGAAAAAATGTATAAAGTTTAATTAAAAATTTTATATTACGTATTTATGTGTTATGTTTTTTGTGTAATTATAATTAATTTTGTAAATTTATGATAATATAGAGATGATCAATAATTATTTTTTAAAATGCAAAAAATTTTATAAAAGACGTTTTACTTTCCTCAATAAAATATCAGTTACGATCAAATTTCTAAACAGTTGTGAAAACGAATAGAACAAAGGTAATCCAAGCTGCTTATCATTAATTATGCAACGAGGACTTGAAGGCGGAACAAACGTTACGTAACGACTTGCTGCACCGATTATTTCGGTGCAATTGAGTTGGGTTTCGTCACAGCCTCTATATAGGTCTTCGATTAAGTAGGAAATCCAATTAGTTAACGATCGCGGACACCTATTTCATTGCCGGTTTAGCTGCAAGAAAGATACGTAACTACTGATCAGATCTAATAACATAATGTAACATTTGAAATCACTGGTCATTAAACAGAAGAGAAGGCACAATCAACGACACGAAATAACAATTTCTGCTCGGTCTCTCGTTTGACATTTTCCGTAAACTATTATTATTTATCTATTGTTTTTATCGTAATTATATAATTATAATACTCATTTTAGACATCTTAAACCATACTCGCTCAAGATTAATATCTTATCGAATAGCAAATATTTTTCAATCATGTAATAAACCGTAATTAATATTTATTACTTACTCATTGTATTAATTCACCTAATCGAATTTTCAAAATTGATTAAAAATATATCTCATTTACTTGAATTAATATCAAACGCCAAATGTACATTGAATGCTAAATGTCTTTTTTAATTATAAATACTTCAACAATATTTTTTCATCTTCATTATTACAGCGACTTTATTTTAACATTCTCCACCATCTTAGCGCATTACCTTCATCACGCAATAAATTATCTAGTCAGCTAGGACCTTGCTAAAGCCATAGAGATGACTAGATATCTAATAATAACGTAATATAATATAGACCTCTCGATGAATAGTTTTCTACCACCATTACCTTGCCATGCGCTACGGGAGCTTCGATGATTTTGTGCGCTGGTGCGACCCAAGGCTGAGGCCCGTGCACCACTGGAGAAGCGTGCACCACAGGAGCCACCCAGGGCTGCGCGATCTGAGGTGCGTCAAACAGTCTTTTTCATATAATCGGAATCAATCGCCTCGATAACACGGGTGTTACGTGAAGTTACTTTCCCGCCGAGTACGTCCAAAGATACTCGGTTGTCAGAAGAGAAATAGAACGAGCCTCCATGGTCCGCATGACGTTGATCAATCCGCGATGATGTTTTAAGAAATGAGGAGTTATCACACAAATTGAGAGAGTTACGAAGAATAGAACGAGAATAATGATTGATATAGAAACATCCACAAAGACGAAAAAAAAAGTTAAAGAAGACTTTGTTATTAAATGTTTAGAGTTACTAGAAATTGTTGCATAAATTTATCGATCAGTATATTAAATAATTAAATCTTACAGAGAAGAAGTTCAAGTAAAAACAAAATTGAAGAGTCAAGATATAAGAAGTTAGACAAAATCAGTCATGCTTGATGAACGACAATAATGATAATAACGACTTACTTTCGAGACATTAATTTCAAACTGAAAGAAAGATTAGAAAACTACAAATTCTCCCTTGAAAATGGCTGATTAAGAAGAAATGGTAATTATACAGATACCTCGTTAAAGTGTGTTTTCTCATCAAGATTTGAGTCGCTCGAATATTCGGGTAACAAAGAATGTTTAGTTATTTAAGAAGAAACAATCATCAAGAGTTGCTAAAAATTAATAATAAGAATGAAATAATTAAAGTTTGATTAATCACAAAAGTAAAATTCAGAGAAGTAGTAGTAACGTTGACAGATGATTTACATAGTGTTATTATATAATTAATATTACTATATGTTTGCGCACACAACGAAGAGAAATAATAACATAAATTGTAAAATTTATGTAAATGTGAACTTCTCTTTGAATGATGATTATGGAATACTTGCCTCATATCCGGCGCTGACGACCGCCACAACGGCAAACAAAACAATCTGTAACAATACAACAATGTAATGTTGTGTGATATAATGCACACGCACAATAGTAACATATAATAACATTAGATATATATTCACAATATATTCAAAATGTTTGTCAGAATACAATAAAAACTACAGAAAATCAACTTAATGTTCAGTTATATATTTTAAATACTATAAATGTGTATCACAAACATCAAGTTAACATGAAAAACTTTCTCTTTTCAAATAATGATAAAAATATTGTCACACAACACAATATTGATTTTATAAATTAGAATATTCAATGTGTGAGAGAATATTTAATATAATTATTAATAATTTAAATTTAACATAATCAAATTAACAATATAGGTTAATGTGCGCGTAATAATAAAATAATTAATTCATATTTTATATTATAAATTACATATTATACATATATATTGAATTAAATCCTTTATTTTTTATTTAATTTTGTAATATTAATCTATTAAAATATCTAAATCATAATTTTATAACGTAAAATAAAGTAATTGTAATTTGCATCTACATAATACAAAACAAACATAGTAGAAATTCTAAGCAAATGCAGAACTTGTGCAACACTGCGTAACAGAATCCCCATGATCAATCGCAAAGGGAATCATTCTCGGGCCCACAACGATTTAACTTTTACTTCCTCACGTTATTGCGAGGAGAAACTTACGAAGAACTTCATGGTGTGTGATGACAGTTTTTCTTGTGCGCTACGCGGGAAAACACTACGTGTCCGAGGGGCGACGCAGTATGCTTTTATAGCTGAGCCCTGCCCAGGCCCAGGGGGACCCAGGGATGAGGCGGGGGTACCGACTATTGCACTACTTCGGATGCGGACCCCTTTCACCAATAGCGCGACCCTTTCGGATCCCTTATTGGGAGCTTGGTTCCAATCGATCACGATTTGTGCGTAGCTTCCGGTACCAAAACGACACTCTTAAAGATGCTCAAAGATTAATGGACCATTGAAAAGGGGCACTTGAAATAAAATGCGCATATCGTCTGAGTCATACGAAAAAGCAGGTCATTCAAATAAAGAACGAAGATTATGATACAAGATAACGGCTATCAAATCCATCGATAGTTTACAAATTTGAAAATAAATAACGAATTCTTTTATTTCGTAAGATTAGGTGAGAAAGTAGATTTACATAAAACTAAATTATTACATTTCGCAAGATTACATGAGCAAATAAATATATGCGTATAAAGGAAAGTGGAACTGGACTATATACTCACCGAGTGACTCCACTTTAATAACTTTTTAAATGTTTCTAAAATTAGAAAAAGATTTTTATTCACAATTAGAAAGTTATATCTTCGTGAAAGATCTAGAACTGTTTCCACTGCATTAGTTCATCACATGTTACCATAAATATTCTTAATAATCACGATACTTAAAAAGAAATTTGTTTTCTACTATATTTCTTCTGATATTAGACACTGTCTATTCCTAAGTAAAAGACAGATCACCTTGTACGAATGAATTACATAACTTTGACAAACGGCGTCACGACATATTCACAATTGTCTTAATAAGCACCGCTGATTTCTGATTCTCGTCTAAGATCGATCATTTCAAATCCACAAATCACGATGTTAAATCGCAGCGGTTACTAACCCAGCATGTAACGAGTAACGTTTGCAAGAGGAGTTCACGTATTCCAGGTGCGCCGGGCGTAACGTGTGCTGATGGAGTCGGCTGATTAGGATGTAATACTCCAGGAAAATGCAGAGGTAGGTTTATGAGAAAGAAAACGTTCGGGTGTTTTTTTTTCTTTGCGACTTGCGTAAAAGATATACTCTGTGTAACACTAAAACAACAATTAACCCTATCTTTTTGCGCGATACCTCGCTGTAATTATCTCAAATAAGACATACGGCTCGCGTAATAGTTTGCAATTACGTTATAATTCTCCTAAAACAGAAAATACGACACCCGTCTGTTTTTTTTTTTAGATTTGTCCTAGCGGGAAATAGCGTTTAAGGAAAATTTGCCTTAACGGAATCTCAATTAAGGCGAATTCGACAGGGAACTGGAGAACAATAGATTTCCGCAACATTAAACGTTCGTGCATACTCTATTACGGTCAATTTCGCAATTGCATCCAGTAAATAGAGCTTATACATTGTGAAAAAAACGCGTGGGAATGACAATAAAATATGCAAAAAATCGGAATGAAACGAGAATTGATTTCTCATTTCGATTGCAACGTATAAAGAACGCTACAAGTTGTTTCGTGTTCCGTCGTTTTCTTCTTAAAATTGTAATTAAATCTTTTTCTCTTTTCTACAGTATGAAATTTTCCCCATTTGTGTTAAATTAATTTATACGGAATATAGTACTGTTCAACATGGAATATATTAATTTCACGACGGCGAAATCCGTTGTTCTTCATTCGATTCGAGTTTAATTTCGTTTTATATGTGTATATTAATTCCGTAATAGCGAAACCCGCGTTTCTTTAATCAAGGCGTTTAGCTTACAGCGCGAGGAAAACCGTGTGATCTTTTTCTTCTAGTCATTCGTTTCATGCCGGATCTCGGTCTCGTGTTGAAATCTCTCTGTTACGCTAAGAAATTGGTGCACGGTTAACAATAAAACTTTTTAGAATTATTTTTGCTTGTTGAAAATTAATTAGATAATGTGTAATCTAACAAATAAAGACAATTTTTTTACGGATGTAATAATCTTCTCTTATAATTTCTAATAGGATCTTAAAAATAGAAATATTTTGTTTATCCTCATAGATTTAATAAAAATTATTTTAGAACAATAATTTTGTGGACGTAGATATTTTTAGAAATATTATTATTAATATTATTAACATATTTAATACATAAAAAATGATAAAAATATTGAATTAATTAAATGCCCGATTGTATCACTGACATCTAATACCGATTGATATTTCATCTTTTTCTAAAGAGAATCAAATTCTAAATTAAATTTTCTTTTATGCATTAATTTATATTTTATGTTTTAACATACGGTAGATAACAATTGTTCCTTTTGACTTTACTGCAGTTTCTCTGAAACAAAGACATTCTGTAATCATTTTGTGAAATTGTAGACACATTTTATATACAGTAGCTTTGTCTTTTAATTTTTAGTACACAGCAGTTCCAGCAATTTTCCCTCCGTGCGTCATTCACCCTCGGGTCTAATAAACGCGCGTTTTACGAGCAACGTTAATTTCGCAACAAGTGCTGACTACTAGAGGTGGTTATAGCCATGAACGCATTTAGTTCTGGGTCACATCTAAGTACATCTGACTCCCTCTCGCTTCTTCTCTTTTTCCTTCTCTCTCACTCCCTTCGAAAGCACGAACTACATAGTGCGATTTTTGCGAGCGCGAAATCGTCGTTTCCGAACAGTGGAAGTGAACGCCCCTACGTTTCTTCGTCGTCGGTCGCGCTTTTTCAGACCGATTAGCAATTATCCGTTAGGACTGTGGCCGACGGTTGCCTACTTACTCGGTATAAAAGCCGCGGTACTCGCTACGCGATTTACGCAACCCTGACCAAGCACGATTCGTTGCATTTATCGCAAGTGTATATGCGCGGAACAACCCCGCGTGGATGTAGATACGTCGTGCAGCGGAATCGTTGCAAAACTTGGAAAGTTTAACGATTCTCATTATTTTGTAATGTCTCACGCTCGCTCTGTTTGGATCAGATGAACAAGAGAAAGAAAGAGAGAGGGAGATGGACGTATGTTTGCCGATGTAGCGGGCGTGCAAGAAATATTAATGCAACACTCACGTTGCATCGCGTAGCAGTGCCCGAGGGAATTTTCCACGAACGAGAAACCTTTAAACAAGTCTTTTAATATTTCAGAAACACTGCGTAGAGATGAAAAAGAGCAATTCGCAGTAACATTTTGTAGCTTGGCGCTGTATACTTTGTACGTAAAACATTAATAAAATAACATGAGTGGAAATATGATTCGGAGTAAAAAAGCGAAATTATAAGTAAGTAAAAGTATGTAAATAATAACACGAAAATATGTCGCCATGAGTTTTTACTTTATCGTGTATAATTTCGTACGTTATATCGCGTGGTTTCTTATTAACTGGCAGGTGCAATCTATGCAACTTGATTAGATAATTGACATATATGTGGGTAAAATCTTAAAAAAATAAAAAAATTCACGTTCCCCATTCGCTTATGCACCACTGCACCGTTCAAACGCGCTTTCCCCCGCGGAAAACGCATTGCCGCAATTCGTGCATCGCTGCACTCGATAAACCAATCTCCTGCACGTGAAATAATTTTCGCTTGTAGTACATAATTAGCTTGTATGTACATATATTGTAATACGTTAATCGGATTATTCTATGTTAATCTTTTATTATTTGTTTTTGTAACTCAAAAAAAAAAAAAATATTCAAAAATATTTATTTTAAAAAATACATGTCAACGTACAAGAAAGAATTAGAAAATCTAGATTTTTTGAAAATTTATGCCATTCCCTAAAGTTACTTCATGAGCGTTGTTCTCTCATGCTCTCTTTCTGAGAAATAATTCCGCATGTATTTAGCAAAAAGACAAGTACAAACTCTTTCCGGTCTCCGCAATAGAAGCGATTATATGCAGCAGCAGCTAATTATATCTATTCTCATGTATTATCTCTTCCTGTGCGCCAAAAGTCAATCGCGAAAACGCAATCAACTAGCAAAACATAACTCTAAATGAAGTGACTGTCGCAATTTGCAATTAATAAACGTGCGAATCATCGAATGAATCATTTATCAGCAAATCACAATTTATGCATCCGACCATGGAAATCGAAACTGAAACAAATGAATAACGAGAGTAACGAATGAAACGCGAATACGTGAAGATATCGCATTATATCTTGGCTCGTTCTTCCAATTTCCACGGATGCAATCTCAATGCATGGTTCGAATTTCGCTCGTTATTAATCGCCACATTTACGACACTCTTGTGTAATGTTATATTGTGTTCTCTTTGTAGTAACACCGCTATTCTATTGCACAGAGAAGCGATTTCGCATGATAGCGCGAATGCGATCGCGCACCAAAACGAGAATACTCGCGAATAATTGCTGATGAGAAAAAATCGTTTAGACAGGTGAGATTCTTTACGTAAGATTAATATTACATAAAGAACTTTCATTATAAATGATCGCGATATCAGAAACGGAGATTCATCACTTTTAATTGCAGTAAATTGTGAATACATGATTTTGATTCATACATAGCAGAAAATATAGAGAAAATACTTATATATTTTTTCAAAATATGTTCTTTTTATTTCAAGTTTGTTGCGTTATATGTTACTACATAAACTTCTAAATTTAAAAGTCAATTAGTGCAATTTGAAAGTCAATGAGTGCATATTTTATATATAAATTTACTTCTTTTTTATTTTAAAAAAAACTAATGACGAAACACTATTCACTCTTCACACAAAACTTACTTCAAATCATAAAAGCATCTTCCTTCTTCGAAGGAAGCAGATATAAGGGGACTATCTTTATACACAGATAATAAATGTAAAAAATTATTTAGGACTTTAGTACTAGAATAGGTGATAGATAGGTGATTACAAGCGCTGAAACTAATGAAGCACAGTAATCGACCTCGAACACGATTTCATTATGCGACCAGTTGTCTAGAATAATATTTAATGAGATAAAAAGTCAGAAAATTATTATAATAAATTTTTAAATTTTAAAAATAAAAAAAAAATACATTAAACAATCGTCAATATATTAATATAATCGCAAAT